TAGCATCTATAGCGTGATATTTATTTTGGTTTAACGATCTATCGATCTTTTTAGATTTATTTATACAAGTTCTTCTAAAAACTAATGGACCCCAAATTGTACAATTTATTTCAGAGATTATACATATACATAATGGACTTCTTTGAATTTATCTAACACACTAACGCTTATTGAAAGATTAGGAAACATTACTAAAATTTATTGATTTATATCTCTTGGAAAGTTGCCGACGTGACTTCTTTATTCAATCTTTATTATAAAATAGGCCTTGAAATGTGATATTATTTGTGCTTGAGTAATATTCTTTTATTTTTGTAGAATTACTTAAATAGGATGTATGAACCGGTTCGTTGTAGTGATTATTTTAGATGTTTTCGAATTTCGTAAAATTTAAAGAGTATAATAACGCTGTATTCACTGTTGCATTACGCATATCAGAATTAATATATGCATTTTTACTAAACAATTGTAAATGTTTAAATACCTTTACAGACTTTTTTTAGTCGACGAAATTATTTGAAAAAAAATGTGAAGTATTTTTTAATGAAACTGAATAGGTACATTAAAAAATACTTTAATATAATTTGTAATTAGTGGTACATCATGTAAAATCTTAATGTAGTGTGGAAACTATAAAAAATAGTGGCTGTCTTTATTAGCCAACCATATTGAATGTAATAATTATGTAAAAAATAGAAGGAATATTTAAGTGTCATAACATACGCCATAGTTCCCATAAGAAGTAAATTTTAAAATTTCAGCAAAGACAGCCATAGATTTTCGACGGTTTGTTTTTAATTGCTGCATTTTCAACCCAAACATTCAAATTGGCGATAATCTGAAAAGACCAAAATTCTATCAGACAAATTTTCAAAAATCCATGGCTGCCTTTAATTGTGTTTTTAATGTTCTCTCAGTATTAGGTATATACAGATGAAACTCGGCGGATTTATATCTTGAGAACGGATATAGATATTGAAATTCTGTAAACACCATTATTTTTAACTTAATTTAGTATATTACAAATATATGGCATCAGTGTCGCAAACCTATGTTTTTTTTTTAATTGCAACTGCCATATATTTTCATGGAAACAGATTTGCAATCACAACTGCAATAATATTGTTCATTTTTGAGGTCAGAAATCTCGGACTATTGCAATATTTCTTTGCTACCTGCCGAAATGAGTTCAATTTTTTAATTCTAAGAACAGGCGTTATGAAAATTGGATTGCCAATAGAGGCTCTACTCGATGGCCAGCTTGCAGCCCAGATTTAAGGTCCTTATATTTATTGTTGTGGTGCCTTTTTAACTCGCGAACTAATAAGACAGCAACGCCATATTTGAGTTCTACTTGTGATATACTAAATTAAACTTCCCCTTTCAACATAAAATAACGGCTTTTACCGAATTTTAATATCTCTATCCGTTTTCATATTAGGCTGCCGAAATTCATCTGGGATATCTGTATTTCTTAGGAAATTCTAATTGTTACCAATCACGAACATAGTTGAAAAAAATGTAGCCCCGCCCGCCCGCCCTATCTCAATTGTGATGATTTTTTTTATTCGTCGTGAGCCAAGAAGGCGGAGCTTAACTGCAAAATCCTTTTTAAAAAAATGTTTTTGAGTATCGTGTTGTTCAAAGAATACTATGTAAGTATATTAAAAAAAAAATAAAGTCAAAGATTAGACCCCACTCATATCCGCCGCAATCTCAATTCTCAATTGTGATGAATTTTTCATTCGTTGTCAGATCGAGGGACGGGGCCTAATTGCAAGATCCATATTTGTTTGCAAGAATTTACAATTTTAAACATGTTTTAAGGTTCTTGTTCTGAAAAGACGACTATGCGTGTTAAAAAAAAGCCAAAATATAAATCCCGCCCACCCGCCCTGTGTCATTTGTGATGATTTTTTTTAATCATCGAAAACCAATTTAATTATTGCAAAATCCTTATCATTTCTCTACAAAAAATTACCATATACGACATGTTTTTGAGTATCGTGTTATTCAAGGAATATTATGTATATTAAAAAAAATTAAAGCCAAAAATTAAGCTCCACCTATACCTGCCCCAGTCTAAATAGCAATGAAGTTTTCATTCGTTGGCAGACCTAAGGGCGGAGACTAATTAAACCATATTTCCTTAGGCAAAATTTACCATTTTAAACGTGTTTTAAGTACCTAACTAAGAGTTAAGAAAATTATCACAATTGAAATGGGGTGGGTGGGCGGGGTTTTATATTTTTTGCCTTGTTTTCTTAATATACATAGTATTCTTTGAAGAATACGATACTCAAAAACATGTTTTTAATTTCTTGTAAAAAAATAAGTATTTTGCTGTTAAGCTCCTCTTGGTTTTCGGCAAATAAAAAAAATCAGCACAATTGAGATAGGGCGGGTGGGCGGGCTTACATTTTGCCTTTTTGTTTTAATATGTGTAGACTTCTTTTCACAACAAGAAACTTAAAACATGTTTAAAATAGAAAATTTGTATAAGGAAATAAGGATTTTGCAATTAAGCTCCGCCCATAATTATAAATCCATATTTCTTCGTAAAAATGTATCATTTTAACCATGTTTTAAGTTTTTTGTTGTGAAAAGTTGGCTACGTATATTAAGAAAAAAAAGGGCAAAATATTATACAGAATTTTTGTACATAATTGTTTGAGATTTTAATATTTTGTATACCTGTTTTGCAAAATTAATGAAAAAGTAAACCATTTAAATAAAATTATACCATGAAACTAGGGGGAATACATAGAGGAAATTACTTAATAACTTGTATCTATAGAGTAACGATAAAGAAAATTTTCAAATTTACAAAATTTTATGGAATAACAGGTGAGAGAAAATTAATAAAGACAAAGATTAAGCCAAAAAGTTAGGACTTTTATGTTATTTTTTGTAAATATCACGTATCCAATGCTTTTGTGTATTGTTTGAAGATCGTTTAAAACATGTTTTCCACCACGTCTTCTTCTAAAAAAACGACGCCAACTGAAATGACTTTCAACTGAACACCCGTTATAAGAGTAATTCTATAAATGTTTTTTTCACCACTAAAATTGATATTTTAATGTTCGCAGCCACTAAAAATTGTATCTAATGTTGAAAAATAACTAATTTTAATTCCAGAGTTAAAAAATTACCAAATCTAATTACTTTTGATAATAAAAAAAACTTGAAAATCAACGAAACTTTCTATTGTTAAAATAGCAACTTGGAAACAATTATTATTATCAACTATCGAAACGGAATTACTTGATAAAGTAGACTGCTTGTGGTTCCAAAGACTTGAGGATTTACAAGTTTTCGACATTTTTTCAAAAAAAAAAAAAAAGGCAAACAGGACATTTTTTGAATAATTTCTTTCGACTTTCTTGATCGTACACCAGTCTGTGAAATTTATTAATTTATTTTATATAAATAGTGTCGCACGACAAAAACTATGTGGAAAAACCAAACACTATTTTGGCTATAGTCATGTATGATAGTTGTCAGTGTCATGACTTGCATAAAAAAGTTCCATAACAGGTATGAAATATGACGTACGATGATTCTTCTTCAATAAAGAGGTTTGGGACTGAAAAAATTAACTTCTCTACTTGACGATTTTCTCACTTTTCTTATTTCCCCAACTTTTTATTTTTGATTAGCCTCTTTAACAAAATCGAAGATACTTTTAACCATGAGAAATAGACTACTTTTTTGAGAATAAATTAAGATATAATAAAATATACACTTTTAAGTGATGAGTTTTAAATAAATCCTTTGACTCATAATGTATAATTTATTTTTTATTCGTGGTCGTTACGAAATACTTATTCTTAGTATTCTTTCTTTTGGAAGACAACGCTAGTTTGACCGTCTGACATTGGTTTACATCCCACCGAATATTACCAAAGTTACCAACAATACTGGAAGATGCGATATTAAACGTTTTTGAACTTTTTTTAACTTATTTTTTAATATTTAAAATATAATCTCTATACAATGACTCGACTAAAAATTTTCCGCTAGACTATTTTACAAATGTCACTTTTAATCCCACAATTTTATTTGGGTTTCTCAAAAAACTAGGAATTAATTTATTGCTACTACGAGTTCTGATGCTAATGTGACACCATAAAAGACAGTTTTTAATCTCGGGAAAATTAGCTCAAAAAATTTTAATCTGCCCGTTTCAAGGTTTACTAAAATTTTAAATTATACACTCTATTAGATAAAATCGTTAAATTAACAATCATACGAATTATTAGCCTCCATTTATGAGAATATAACCCACATTTATATTCAAGATAATTTCGAGATTGAATAATAAGATGTAATTACCTAAAAAAAGACAACGAACACGTTCTTACAATAAAGTGAGGCGGCGGTGTTCAACGATATTAAATCTGAAAATTTATTCCCAAAAGATAAAGGTGTAGTATGTAGGAAAATCCTTGAATGTATTAGAAAATCGACAATTGTTCTTGGATTATTAAATTCGTAATTTATGTGATAATACGCAGATATATCTTCGTTATGGATTTAAACACAGATAATCAAACTCATAAATCATGGAACTAAGTTGTTAAACGCAAGAAAAAAATAATTAAGTTACCATAATTTACATACATTTGCACATAATTTGGCGGTGAATGATGTTTGGGAACATTCATCAATTTTTGAGTAGTTCTGATTACAAACAAATAGAAGAATAAATATTTTGTCGGATTTTCGGTATTGTTTTTCTTAAAATATTATTTATTTAACGTCTACCACGTACTTTTATGTTTAAAAAGTCAAGTATTTGTTAAATATTTATCGATTTTTACGCAGTCAATGCACTCTCTTTTCGTGAGATGAATCACTTTGCTTGCAACAATAATTCTCGCGGAATTCTGAGATGTAAATATGACCTTCTAGATTATTGTCTAATGGATGCATAGTTTGGGGTAGGGTGTGTCTGGGATGAACCAGAACCACGGTGGGGGTTCTTTATATAAACTAGATGAACTATCAGACTTACCACTGTCAAGTGTTTTTGATACTTGTGAATATTAACCATGTACCTGGTAAGCAGTGAGATTGTGGTTTTGGGTTATTAGTGAATATGAATAACAATATAAAGGTTGTAGTTAACATATTTTTCGCTTTTCGATAATTTTAAAACATTATCAAAATTTCAATTATTAGTATTATTTTTTTTTAATCTATAGAATTTATTAGTTTTACGATTTACAATTATTGTTAAAAGGGATATTTTAAATATTGTGGTTGTTTCAAGAATTCAGAACTTTGTTATATACTTAATTTGGAATAACGAATTAATGATTTATAATATTAAAATAATTATTTAATACCAGAACTACTGTTACTTTTTCTAAAATATTTTTTGTGAACTCTTGGTAATAATATCTAATATCAAAGTTTTAAATATTCCAGATTTAAATTTATTTCATTATTTTTAAGATTATTTATTTGTCTTATTTTATAACACAAATTCATTTAATACAAATTTATTTGAAACAGTTCTAAAACAATTAAATTTTTATTTTTAAAAAATACGTATACTGCTTTAATCATATTTCCAAAAATTGATATTTTTTAAAATTTTCAAATTATGTCTAAAGTTCTCTATGCAGTTTTTTTTTTTTGTATTGTACTTTACACTTGAGAAGAATATAGTTATGCTTTTATACTACAAGAAAAATTTAATAATTTCATTTGAAATAATATTCGTAGTTTTAACGTAAAATTATATATTTTTAAGAAAGAAAAATTGTTCCTCAATATTTTTTACCCATGTCTTGTAAAATAATTGAGCCTGTTTGATATTAACAATTTTTGCTTACTTATTATTTCAAGTGCAATGATTTATATCTTTTCATCAAGTCGAGAAGAATATATATTATAATGTTTCACCTAAATTTGTCTTTTGTCTGCCTGTGAAAGTTCGTATAAATACTACTTTTAATTATGCAGAATGATGTAATTTTTTCCGAATATGTCGGTCTAACATATCAAGTGACATGTATTACACAGGCAGATTTTGAAAACACATTACAAACACTTTTCTGTATGAGAAAACAACAAAAATTCAAATAAGTATAAATTTTGTAATAAATAACATTATATTCCTTATAAGATAGATACATTTCGTCGTGGGTATAATTATGTTAATATTACAACAAATAGTAAGAAAATTATTGCATCAGTAATATATGCCAATTTCTATAATTTTCTTTTCCTCAAAATGTTTAGTTCGTCCTTGCAACTTTGGTCGCCGCCGCCATGGCCGCCCCCCAGCAAAACTACTACCAACAACAGCAACAATACCCCAATCAACAATACTCCGGCAAGTTCGTCCCAATCGTGTCAGAATCAAACGAAATAAACCCAGATGGTTCATTCAGTTACAGGTAATTATGTAACCCATCATTACTCATTTCCTTTAATCTAATGACACCTGAATAGAGAGATTCTTCATTCTGATGTCAACTGCGTGATATGTGGATGCTACAAAAAAATTACCATAAAATTGAAATTCTTGCAGTTATGCCACTGGTGACGGTCAACAGGCTCAAGCTCAAGGATATTTAAAAAATGCTGGTGTCAAAGATCAAGAAGCTGAAGTAATTCAAGGCTCTTATTCTTACACCGCGCCAGATGGTACTCCAATTAGCATCACGTACGTGGCGGATGAGAACGGTTTCCGTGCCGAAGGCGCCCATTTGCCAACCCCGCCCCCAATCCCTGAGGCTATCCAGAGATCTTTGGCTCTGATTGCCCAGACGCAGCGAAATCCCCAGTCGCAGTATCAGCAGCAACCGCAGTACCAGCAACAGTACCATCAGCCCAGACCCTTCGGACGGTTTTAGGATAGACTAGGATCACCTAGTACCTGCTAAAAAAGTGGCCAGTGACATGTTCAAGAAATGAAGTTGTAAATATTTTGTAATAGCTTATGCATTTTTATAAATCATTTTTTACAAAAAGAATTTGTGTGTTTTTTGGGAAAAAATGGGTATATATAGGTACAATAATAACACTAGTTTACAAGGTTTTATATCCAAAGACAAAAATAGTTGAATCTAAAGGATTTGGGTTCGGGAAATTCAAATCTGAAAGCAGAAAAAATCCATCACGTCAGGTTTTTGAGATATTTATATAAACATACCCTGTATTTCTTTTCTTTTATACAACTCTTGTAATTTTTTTATTTTCAAATATATATGAACATATAGTTCTTTGAGCAAATTTGTATCATTTTAAAGGATCATTTACGTAAATAAATTACATGAATCAATTTTTCAAGCTAGATTGTCATCAATGTTTTATTTAAAATTTTTCAAGTATTGATTTTAGAATAATTGGTTGCTTTTGATTTTTCTACGGGAAGTGATAATAAAAATGTGAGGTTGCCCTCACAAAGATCTTTTAAAATGATACAAATTTGCTCAAAGAAGTATAGGTTTATCTTTAAGAATAAAGAAGTTACAGGGGTTGTATCAAATAAAAGCCACACCCAGTATATATTATAAACAATATGACTGAAAATTAAAAATGATTAACACTTTCTTTTATTGGCAGTACTGTCAGTTTCCCTTATAATAGACCAACAGTAACACATTTTCGTCCCAAAAACCTTGATACCTTCTTTTTAAGCACATTTGAACAGGTCTTCCAGCTTTAGGTACTAAAATTTTACCACAAACGTAAGAAAACTGATTTGCACCTACTTTGCACGATCTCGAAGACATTTTTATGCGACAATGGTCCATTAACATGAATCAGTTTAACACTAACAAGAAGGTAAAAGCAAAGTTCATTATTTTGGATTTATGAAAAAACCTGACGTGATAGGGATTATCCGTTTTTGGATTTGTTATCAGTAAGTAATTTAGAAGTAGAAAATATTTTTTTTATTTTTGGATACGAAAAAAAGTTTAAATTTGTAAACTAGTGTAATTATAGCACCGAAAGGTTTACAACATAGCAAATAATCTTGTCTGAAAAAGTATTATCATAACTATTATTATTATTAGATGATCTTAATTTACCCGGTGGGTCAACAAAATTTACACAGTTTTTTCTGCTGCGTTGAAAAAATATAAAACATTATTTGCGTAGTTTGTTGATGTAAGTAGTGAATCATTCTTTTATGGCGTAAAAATATTTCACCGCGACGAATGAGTGACTTCCAAATATGTGACTTCTCATGCTGTAGACACTTCAGATTCACGAATGCTAACATTTGTAGTGTTTTATGAGATTTTTTACAAGTAGTGAGAAAACAAATATTATTTTATGACAGGACAGGTAGTTGAAAAATGGACACTTTATAGAATCGACCCAAGAATGGATCCCTGAGGCAATCCGTTCGATTACTTAAATAATTCATAGTAAGATTAATACTAGTAGGCAGTCGCAGAAGTACAATTTGCGCATTAGTATGTCATGCGAAACCCAATCAAATGCTTCACCAAGATTTAAGACAGCTGCAGTGTAAAATGACTTAAATCCAAAACATTGTGTAAATTTCTCAAGTAAAGGAGTGATAGCAGAATTAATAATAGAATGATCTTTTCGAAATTCAAACTGATTGCATGCTAGCGATTTATTTTGATATAAATAAAGTATTAGCTTGTTTAGTACAATTTTTTCAAAATTTTTTGAGATTATGGCACTATTGAGATGGCTCTAGAATTATTAGGATCGACTGCATCTCCTTCATAAAAAAATTAGGAATAACTTTTGCTTTTTTTAGTGGTTTTGGAAAAATATTCGATTCAATGCAAATATTGATCAATTTTGTTACTGGTGCTATGATATTACATTTTAATCCTTAAATCACACTGAGTGAAATGTGAAGTACTGAGTACTGACTTTCAACTTAGACTTAGAGTTTTTTTTTTTTCACAATTTACTGGTAGATAGTAGCTCCGAGTTCACATCTTTTTAAAGGAACGCGGTTAATACAATAATTGTAATAAATTGCACTAATTTTGCGATGCAAACTTATCAGATGACATATATTAAGTTGATCTTTATTAGTTTATTAAGTACAGAGTATCTTATAAATCTGATAAAGTTCTCTTGTAGTATTAACCGATCAGCAGGAGTATTAATGACTTTGACAATCTTCAGATCATCTGCGTACATACATATACAGCGTGTTATTGAAAGGTACGTACAAAATAAAATCGGCAATTGGTCTTGAAGTATGGGTGCTAAAAGTTAAAAAAAGTTCAGGTCAAAGTGTTCTCCTTTTGAAGATAAAAAATATTAAACTTGATGTCCAAATTCGTTGTACTCCACTGATAAAAAGATCATCTCTCGTTTCTATAGCAACATCTAGTCTTGACAAAAGTTTTATTGTTACAGTTGCTAGGATTTAATAAAATAAATTAATTTCGTCTATTTATCTTTCAGTAGCGTCTAAAAAGGTTGGATAAGGATTAATTTTCCCCTTATAATTTTGATAACACAAAATAAGTTTTTCAGACTTCTTAGACTTCGCGAAGAACTGTTAATTTTGTTGTACGTACCTTTCAATAACACCCTGTATATGACAATCAAAAAATTTTGTAACATCATTTATAAAAATGTTGGACAGAATAGGCTCTAAATTCGACCCTTGTTAGAAACAACTCATCTATTTCTTCAGACATCACTAAAACATAAACTAAAGAGTGAAATAAGACTAAGATACGTCATTGTTAGAGAGATTGGCTAATACTTAATATATTATGGTCTACCACGTCGAATATCTTGGATAAGTAACATCCATTACCCAAGGCATTAGACACTAATGGAACAGATTGACTTAAGTTAGTGCAAATGGATTTACCGACGACAAAACCATGTTTATACATTAGGAAGTTGAGATGTGACATGACCATATAAGACGTCATAAGATACTGTCAAATATTTTGCCAAATTATTGATAATACAGATAGGCCGACAGTTGTTAATATCTATTTTATTAGGGGATATGTATACAGGAAAAACTTTGGTGATCTTCCATGAGTTGGGAGACACAGAGGTATCGACAATTGATTTATAGTGATAACTTAAAGGTTGACACAAGCATATAAAGCAGATTGTCGCAAGGAACGCCGGTATGGTATGGTACATACAGAGCATTCGATTTGAAAACATTAAGGATTTGTTGTCAACGTCTATGTCTTCATTAATGAAATCCCAGTTGATAGTGCTAATAAAGTCAAAAGACATTAGCTTGCCATAAGCTGTGAAAGGTCTACATATTTTAAGTCCAATGAACGTGTCAGTCCAACTAGAGGTTATAAATAAATCTAGTATTAGTATACTTCCATGAGAAAAGAAATTTCTCTGATCATACCAATCAAAGTGACGTTATCTCCATATTTTGTTGAGCAAATGCTGTAATTAATACATACTTTGAAAATTTTCACATTCTCTAGAGTTGTCATGACTTATGAGTATGGTAAATGGTAATCATCATGGGTATGGTAAGTGGTAATCACAGTCAGAATTCACCTATTCACCCCTTCCAACAGTTGGGTCATACTTTTTAGAACTGTTTATACCAGATGTGTAAAAATGTAGTGATTTTAGCAATTTTTTTCCAAAAATTCTGAGTATACACCCAGCACTGTTATAGTGTTATTGCTGTTGTATATATTGGTCCCCACTAAAAAACTGATGACGTCAGCACAAAATAAACGTACGTAAATAAATAAATAAATAACTAAATAAATCGATCTTTATTAGAGAAGTTACAAGTTTTTGTCTTTGACGACGTTACCTCAAAATTGTGCCCAGTAACTGTTATTGAAATTTTGTAAAATTACATTCTGCTGTACTCGTCATTTATGAATCCGCCTTAAGTTATTCTCTTAGGCATCCAGATTTTTTCAAGAAAATCCAAATTAAATAAGAACCTTTTATATTAATATAAACGAAGCTCTTGCATTTATCTGGGAGTATCGTTTAGCTTGTACTGGTCGCACCGAAGGTCATAGGTTCGATTACCTTATGCGGCTTTTTTTATACTGCGATTATCTTTATTGCTTCTTGTTTTTCAACCGGATTTATTTATTTTCACTTCAGGGCGGGGATGTTGTGTTTAATAACATAAGGCCAATTTTTTAAAATACCTTTATAAGTGCCACGATGATATGTTGAGAAATAACTCATCTATTTCCTTAAAATTTCGGGAACACTGTTAATGGTACAAAGTAGTGCACTATGTTTCGAAATCAGTAAACCTGACAGTGCCATTCCAAAAAATTAAAATAAAATAAAATCGAAAAAAAAAGTTGTTAGTATGTAGTTTAAGATCTACAGTTATATATGTTTGAAAATATTTTTATTTCTCTCTATTTGACTCAAATATGTTCCGTCAATTGCTAAATCAATCCATAGGAAAAGGATAAAATAGAAATTTAATTAATGGTAAGATGACATTTTTAACACCTGAGAAAGCAGAATTTGTTCGATCATTAAAAAAATAAAATATATATTTTCTGGAAGCCGGTTTGCGTCAAAGCTGGTCACGAATCGGCAAAAATAATATTTTTATTCTGCGAACTGAACTTTATTCCAGTAATATTAATTATACACTGAGTAAATGTTCATTGTTGAACGAATATTAATTATTTTCGGTAAAATTCACTCATACCTATTTTTGATAAATTACCTAATGACTAATAATTTTTGACTAATTTTATTTTTCACAAATTGTTATAAACTTGTACCAAATATGTACCATTACGGATAATTTATTTTCGACTTATTGATGACTATTTTAAAAATTTCCGCATAGGGATAGATCAGACAATAAAAAATGAAAAATAGTGTGTAGTAGGTATACATAAATAAATAATGAATGTCCCTTGATAAAATGTGATGAACTGAAGTTTAAGAGCAGATGATAGTAGTAATAATAAATAATAATACTAGTGCTAGTACAGTACAATTCTGTTTTCCTTTGGACCATGCGATTGTTGCGATG